TAAGATGTTTTCTCGGGAATGACAAAATCCAAAGTATCTGAGGTGTTAAAGTTGAATGTAAAGAATAACAGTGAATAGAAAAAATTAAATGGATAAATCAAGAGAAAAAAAGGTCTCCTGTGATTTTTAGAATAAATTAATTCCTGCCTGGCAGTCATCCACAGAATATACAATTAAATAACAGGGGTAAGCTTATTTTGCTAGATCAATCCGATTATCACCACAGCCAAATTCCTCACTCAGTCGGTTCTTCCACATCTCCCTTTTCATCGCTTCCTTCTCCGTCAGCCTTTGGTCTGCCATAGTCTCAACTACAACATCTACAACAAAGTGAGGTCTTCCTCTCCTTCTCCAACCCTCGACCTCCCACTCCAATGCTGTTTATATAAGTTTATGTAAGTGTGGACACTGACCTCATCTAGGTAGTCCCGTTCAACAGTTTTGATGTGTAGCCCAGCATTATCCTGCATAAAAAGAAAAGGAAGGGTGATAAATGGGTCAAATGTACCACTTGTGGGAACACAGATAGTTTGGAAGGGATCAACCAACCAGATGTTCCAATGAATGTTGTGCAGCTGCACCCATAGCTCCATAGATGAATCCTATAGGACAACTATGGCAATCAGATATTTTTCGAATGGAAGTTTTGAAGCTAAAAACACTTCTGAAAGCTAGAAAGTATGAGATATTCTGTTGAATATTGTATGAGCAATGTGTTTGGTCTGTGACCTGGCTGTGTCTCCACTCTCGTCATGTAGCAGTGTCACCACTATGCTTCTTAAAGTTATTTTTGCAGATATGTTTCAGGAAAAAATATGATTTTTTGCATTCTTATTTTTATAACCTAATCTTCACCAACAAATAAAATTGAAAACTCATTTCAAGTACCTCATTATTTTTGTGTCTGTATTTATACACACACAAACACATATAAGTATAAAATAGACTACTATATAACTGTTGTAAATAACAAACTTTAATCCAATTGAGAATATTAATATGAAAACTAAAGAAGCATTAATTGCAACCGGACTCACTTAGCACGAGACATTCTTAAAACCAGAAAAAGTAAATAAAAAACTCATCCATGTGCAACGGTTTGGCTTGTGAATAAATTGTTATTTTTTGGTTAAGGTGTATTAATTTATTTTCCAATTTATTTATGTTAAGCCACTTTAAATCAATTTTTAATTTGGTCAACTTAATAACTTCAACATCTTATCACGATGTTTCGGCTCATTGAGTCATTTTCAAGTCTGTCCATTTCAATTCTTATGCGAATTGCAGGCCTTTATTAGTCATATTAAAATGTATCACTCTTGTCATGTCCACCTTTAACTTATCATGTGTCACCCACATATTGTCAGTCTCATTTCTTTTCAGTCACTGACTCATTTTATTATGAGTAGAGGCATGTAATTCGCATAAGAAGTGAAATGGACAGACTTGAAAATGGCTCGACGAGCCGAAACATCGTGATAAGATGTTGAAGTTATTAAGTTGACCAAATTAAAAATTGGTGTAAAGTGGCTTAAAATAAATAAATTGGAAAATAAATATTATGCACCTAAGTAGAAGAGAGAAAAATTTAGTGTATTAATTTAATGTATCTACAAAGAGAAAATTACCAATAAACTGTATGTTTTAATTTTCAAAGGACAGTAAAAATAATTATTTATCATAATTTTAGAGAAACAAAAGTCAGAATATGAACATCAATTTAAATTAACAACTTTTTAAAATGAAGTAAAAAATTGAATATATTTCGTTTCTTACATTACATTGCATGACAAGTTCATATCATAGTATGTACTTAAAATGTATTCTTAAATGTTAATGTTATTTCAAAGAGAGAAATATAGTGCTGCCTGCACACCTGAAGCCTTTTCATGTTTCATTAACATGAGCTGATAAAAAGATGAACTGAAGCTGTTTTACAGTAAATTTTTATTAAATTACATTATAAAATTTATGTTGTTATGTTTAAGTCCTTCCAATTACAATATGGATTCTATACTATAATGTAATAAATATTTGAGCACATCATCACCACACCATAAAAATAGAAAAATTGTAATAAAAGGACCTTTCAATGAAATAGAATAAACTTGCTTGATCCTAGAATATTCACTAAAGAATTATTTTTATAACAAAACATTTCTATAGCCATTATTTCATTGCTGTTCACTGCCGTAATTGAAGAACATTTGTTTATAATGTTTGCCAATTCAATTTAGGTAAAGGAAGGTTGAAATTTATTTTGTGGTGAACACGTAATATGGGTTTCATCCTTCCCACTTTGGTTGAAATAGATGTTTTATCTGTAAGATAACCACTCTATATTATGTGCTAGAAATGGCCAGTAAAAGAAAAATATAAATGGTGAGTAACATAAATTCAGACAAATACCAAAAAGATTAATTAAAACTACATTATTATTCATTTATTTATTTAAGAAACAAACATTACAAAAATTAAAAAAATATAGAATAATCTGGTGAATATATATTTTTTTTCAATATTACATAATTTTTTATAAAAATCTCATAAATTAAAGAAATAATATGTTTCAATTCAGTACTAATTAATCATAATTACCTTAATATTAAAAGAATAAGTAATAAACTCACTAAGAGACAGAACATGAATGCTGAGTTATAATTAGAAAAATACCAACAGTCTTATGTCTCCAAAATGCAGGCAAAGAAAAAAACCCATCAATGTTTCGCCAATTCAGGCATCATCAGGACAAAAGAAAACAGCAAATCGAACATCACTCGATCGCATACTCTTCGAGTTCGCTGTTCTCTTCTGTACTCATGATGCCTGAATTAGAGAAACGTTGACCAGTTTTTTTCTTTGCCTACATTTTCGTGACATAAGACTATTTGGTTGGAATTTTTCCAATTAAAATGTAACATTAATATTAAAGGCATTGATAAATACATTAATATTAATAGTAAGGTTTAGTACGTAACAAAATATTTTCTGAGTATAACCAATCTTAGAAGTAAATTCTTAAATGAAAAATTACATAAGATTAAAATGGTACATAAAGATGTATTCTTTATGTTAAGAAGTAAAGAATTATAATTATCATATGAGAGGGTATGAACTGCTGAACTCTTTAAATCTATCCGGTGAAAATATTCAAAAAAGAGCAAAAACTGTTATATTTTGTAACTTTTGTATTGAATTGATATTTGTAGTAACAATTCAACTAATCTGTGGTTAAAAGAAAAATGTTTTTATAATTATCAACTGGCTAAAATCTTCATAATAATTAAATATAGATATCTCAAGTGTTGCAAAAATACCTTTGATGTTCGAACACGCTTATTAATGCTTTAAGATTCAGACATTTACAACAATTTATTTAAATTTTATAATCAGTAGGAAGATATTGCCAAAAACAGTTTTTTCTTGTATGGTGTTTTGACAAAACTTGAGTTGACTGATATAACATAAATTGAGATAAATATCAAAAAGGTTCATTAAAACTAATTTTATTTTTTTATTTAAAAACCAACTTTATGAAAATAAAAATAAAAAGGTTTAGTAAAAACATGAAATAATTTAGTGAATTTTATTTTGTTTTTTCAAAATCATTTAATTTTCATAAAAATCTCTTCTTTTTTTTTTCAAGTACATTATTTTTCTTTCTTTGATATTTTATTGTGGTCTTGTCTCCACTTCCCAGTTATATAGGTAATTTCCTTCAAAGAAGTACTTTTTACTAAGATTTTGACCTTAAATCATGAAATACTAAAAAGTTTTAGGAAGAACCCGGACAAACCTAAGATACAGTAATAATCATAAAAAAAATACCAGTAAAGTGCAAAGTAGTTAAAAATCATATCTGAACCTATCATATTCCCATTTGGTTTTTATGAAATATTTTAGTTTCACCCTTTGTCACCCTAGGATGTCATTAAATCAATATTTTATCATTTAATGTAACTGGTTTTGAAGTAAACCTGTTGCTGAGCGAAAAAATTTAAGTAAAAAGAAATAAGAAATGAATCAGTATGGACGTACTTAGACTCTTTTTTCTGGTAGTAAGTATTAATTGCTATTGTTATCTTGATTCTGAAGAAAAAAAAAGGATGCTATGAGTTTTGAGGTTCACACTCTCGTACATTAAAAATTACCTTAAACAAAAATACAGGTTATAATAAAATATGATCAAATAGTTTATCTGATCATTTTGGATAGAGAACCATCATTTTATTTTTAGCATAGAATCGCCAACAGTAATTATTTTAGAAGCTTCACTAAGCATTACTTCAAATTATTATACAATTTCTTCAACATAATTTTTTTTTAATATTATTTTATTTTAGGGAAATAGTGCCCATCCTTATCCAAAATCTTTATAATAATAAATATAAAGGTGTATGTATCTAACAAATTATATAGCTATTGTTTTTATTTAATAAGTTAAGAAAAAATCCATAAAATATAGAATAAGCTGTTCCAGAAAAAATAACTGCTTTTTTTGCTTATTAGAAAAATAAAAAAATTGAAGTACATTATGGTGACTAAAGACAAACATTTTTAAAATTTAAATTTGTCAATATATAACATTATTTAATCTCCTTAATTATGAAATAATTATTGAACAACTTATATATAAATATAGGTTACCTTTAGGATAACTACAGTATATGTTGGAAGTGCAAAGTAAAATAGAATAAAAAGGTGATGTTTCTTAAGTAACATGCATTAATATATATATATATATATATATATATTGAATGCACTCTTCTATATGTATATCATCTTTTATTTTCTCCGATCAATCTACATCTTAGGATATAGATTATATAAGACTTGTATAATGTTTACAATACTATAATTGTATTCATTTTAACACACCAAAGTACAGATGTAAATCATTTATAGTAAATATTTATCTACTCTTTTATTATTATTTTTTTTATTACTAAAATGGTTTGACAACAAAAATAATATATATCGTTCATTTCAAATTACATTTAGTTATTTCATAGTTTGTTGTTTGTAGCAACTATTTTACAATATCGTGACCTTATTGCTCATATTCTTTAATATATCTGTATAGCTATGTAAATACTTCTGTTATTACTTATGTTTTAGTTATTCTTTTATTGTGATAAGCATTTTGGCCAGATGTTATGTTAATTTTTATGATCAATATTGTTATTCTTAAGGGACTTATGCTAATACCATTAGAATCTAGTAAGTGATTATGCTACTAACAATTTAATAATGAGTATTTATTTCACAGCACACAGAATAATCAACAATATTTAATAGGTAACTTATATTACTGGATAAGCACTACTTATCAATGTTTTTCCCTGATAGACAAAAGGATAGGTCTGTATATGCAGTTGTTTTCCATCCAATGTAATATGACATTTATCGTTTGGTCTTGCAAGAAAACAAACAGTGTACAAAGACATTTCAAATTCTGGACTAGTTCCAATAAAAATAGTCCCAGCATGCTTCACTGATTTGCCCCAAGAATATTTCAACTTTAGAACGCCAGTGCCCCGCTGAAAATAAATAAAAATATGAAATAACTTTAAGAATGTTAAGATCAAATCTGATCCAACTAACTAATTTCAATGATTTTAAGAATTTGAAATTATAATATATAATTTAATACAACAGGTTTTACTCCTAATGTCTCAAAGAAGTAACTTTTTAACCCACAGGACAGTGAAAAATCAGTAATATCAACATCCTGTTGATATGAGGAGACTCATTAAGGATCTATGTAATGCTTTATTTATTTATGGAACAAACCTATAGGTGGTCCCCCTATCATAACTATGGTTAATCAGTGTGTCACACCTGTAAAACATAACAATGTGACTCACGTGAAATACAATGGAAAATGTGATCCTGTCACATTCCTAATTACAAAACTTAAATTGAATAAATATTATAAGTCACTTTTTCTAAAATATGTTTATTGTAGATTGATAGCTACATGGCTTATAAAATAGAAGTATGGGTAGAAGAATGACTTGAAGAGAATCAGCAACTCAAAGCATTAAAATTAATAGGCAATAGATTTTTAAAAACTAATAGAGAAAAAGAAGGAAATATCAGTAAGTTTTCTTGACCTATCGAATAAAGAAGAAAGATATCACAGAAGTTTTAAGAGAAAAAGAAATATATCAAGGACAAATATTGGTATTTAAAATTCTCTAAAAGAAAATCAGAAATGTAGCCAGATTTGCTAATAAAATCTCAATCCTCTACTCTTTATTTTAGTTTTGGATTCAATCATTAGAAAAGCTAAGGAAAAATATACAAAAAATGCATTCCAGGATAGGCGGGCCTGAGACCAACAAGTCTCTAATTACTTGCATTGGCAAACAACGATGCTCTTTTTTTTTTTTTAAGGTTAACATAAATCTTAAGTCCTACCTCAACAGGCTAAAAGAAGAATTTCTGAAGATCTATAAGAGCAACCAGAAAAAACCGAATGATAAGGGTTGGAAAGAAATTAAGGAATATCCATGTCGCAAGAGTCAATGACTTTAGTCATTAAAGTCGAAACTCTTGAACAAGTAAACAATTTCAAAAACCTAGAACTAAGCCTATATGAAAACAAATACTCAATATGGACTGAAGAAATTGGACCTGAAGTGAGGATTTTCACAGCTGTTAATAAAAGGGATTTCCTGAATAGTAGAAAAGAAGATAAAAAAGACAATATACAAAACTAAATTCCATCCCATTCTGAAGTATTCATATGAATAATGGATCCTGAAGAAGATGAATCAATAAAGAATATGGGTATTGGAAATGAGATCCTTACCTTGACTGCAGTAAAAACAAAAAGAGATAGTTTTTTAAATACCATTCTAAGGTTGAACCTTGATGTTAAGCTAGTCAATGTTGTGAAAAAGATGGTTAAGCCATCTCATAAGAATGGACTCTAGAAGAATTACAAGCCAGGTTTATCAAGCCAAGATTGGTGAAAAAAACACTTTCAGAAAAAAAAGTGGCAGAGGACTGACTGGTTTAGAAAAAAATGTATTAACTTCCTTCTCATACTGCATAAATAAAACAAAAGAGTGGCTTGACTATAATGACGAGCAATAAAAGATTATTTTTATCGGTAAATTGATTAACACTTTGACTGTGGGTGCTTATTTGCATGTTTCTACCAAATGATGCATTCTGAAATCCAAATAGACGTCCAAAAAAAGGATTTAAAAAAAATAATAAATTTATTTAAAATGCTATTTCGAGCCACCCTGCAAGATCTTAGCTTTCAAAAATGCATTTTAACCTTTTTATTCAACTTTTAATAAACTGGACATATGCCTTCCTGGACGCATACAGCAATGCAAAATTAGAGTGGCAATCCCACAACACTTCGCTTTCTTGCTTATTTCTGAAAAGCAAAATAACTGAAAATTATTATAAAAATTAAATTAGATTATTTCTAAAAAAAGGACACTGACGGTAGGATTCAAATTATATATTTCACTGTATTTACAAATTTTTGTCTTACCTAACAAAGTTCCATATTGAAACATAGCCGAGTTAAAAATTTTATTATTGCATTTATATTTATTTTGAGTTTCAAACACTTTTATATTATATGAAATATATATTGTTTTTAGGTGGATGGAAAATGATAAAACAACTAAATTATCATTTTAATTCTGAATAATTTTACATTTATTAATTTTTACTATTACATTTTAATTTTTGGATATTTTAAAGTTTATTTATTACATTATATATATATATATATTGGTGCTTGACGGAGACACTCAATAAAGTTAGAATCGGTAATAATTTGTCAGAAAATTTGAGGTTCGTTCGGGCTTAAAACAGGGGGATTCTCTTTCGCCTGTCCTGTTCAATTTGGCATTAGAACATGCCATTAGGGAGGTAATGCGAACCGAGAAAGGGTTGGATCTGGGCGGGACAACATCCGTGCTGGGCTATGCTGATGATCTGGTACTGTTAAGCGAAGACGTTGAAACTATAAAACTAAATACGACAACGTTAATGAAAGCCGGTAAAGAACTAGGACTTGAAATAAACGTGGATAAAACAAAATATATGGTTAGCTGCAAAAATGGCGATACTACTGGTGATATCAATATAGATGGTAATATGTTTGAACAGGTAGATAAATTTAGGTATCTAGGTTCTACGATAACTAGAAAAAACGAAATTGAAGAAGAGATTAAGGTTAGACTGAAGGCGGGGAATGCTTGTTTTTTCTGTGACAAAACTACTTAGTTCGCGCCTCTTGTCCCGAAACTTAAAAATTAGAATCTATAAAACAATTATCTTGCCTACAGTTCTTTATGGATGCGAAACTTGGCCGCTTACATTAAGGGATGAGCAGCGTCTTAAGGTTTTTGAAAATAAAGTATTGCGTAGAATATTCGGACCGAAGAAGGATGAGTTAACCGGAGAGTTCAGACGGTTACACAACGCCGAATTGCGTGAGCTGTATCCGGGTAATATAATTGAGGTAATTTCATCGCGGCGAATCAAATGGGCTTGTAAAGTTGTTGGGCTTAGTAACGAGAGAATTCCTAAAAGGTTAATATTTGCTGTGCCGAATGGTAAGCGTCTGAGGGGTAGACCGAAGCGAAGGTGGGAAGATTACATTAAAGCCGATCTGAAGGGACTGGGTCTGGACGGCGAACGGTGGAGGGAGGTGTGTAACAAGCGATTGGTGGTGTCGGCATCGAACCTTCGGGTTCGCTAAGCCTTATTATTATTATATATACAAATATAAATGTAGGAAGCATACATTTATTTGTTTAGTAGATGGAAATTCATTTGTACCAAAATCAGCAATCAATCAAAATGAAAATTAAAAAAAAAAATTATTAAATTAACTTATTAACATTTATTTGATGAATAAAACATTTAAATAGAATATAAATAAGATCATGGATATGACACAAATAACAGATGAAGGACATACCTTAGATTTAGAATAAATCTGCAACTGATAGCTTCCAAATGGTCAGAAACCGGAAATATCGCACTGAGTTAGTTATAGGGAACTAATAAATAAACCGATCAAGCCACAAGTAAATTGGTGAAGGCAGGATTTGTCCCTAACTGTCAAAGTGGTGACCACCCAGGCGAGAAGGCACATATCCCGGCCGCACAAATGACCCAACTCACTACTGGAAAGGCATGTATCTCATCCTCACCAATGAACCAACTCTTAACGGGAGAGCATATATCCCATCCTTTGTCAAAGGATTAATATATTAGATAATTATTAAACAAAATAACTTAATTAAATTATTAAAAGTTGTTTACCCCCCCCACCCAAAAAAATAATTACATGATATATCAATATTTTGTCAACAACGCAATAAATACTACCATATCAGAAAACAAACATATCTAAAAATGTTGGATAATTAATGGTTGACTTTTTGCATAATGAGGAAAAAGATGGTACGAGGTGGTGGTCATAATATTTTATGACTAGATTATCTTTTTCTATAAAAACTTGTTATATAAAAATAAATAAATATATAAAATCAGAAAGTAAACTTGCCTTATTAGGAAAGAAGAGCTTCTTTACCCAACCTAAATAGTTCAAATTGCCTCTATTTTCTTCATGGCTAAAATATAACCAATTATGCAAACCAACAAGGTCATTATTTTTCAATTCGGCTAAAAATATATGCTCAAATGCTGATGAACCAACTTTCTTCTTCCCTCGTGAATATGGTGTAAACCATAAGTCAGCCAACATTTTTTTAAAAGCATTATCATTCTTTGATATCAAGTCTAAAAAATATATATTAGTTAGAAAAAACATTGAAACAAAGAGGAAATAAAAACATAATTATTTTACATCCTTGACCTTTCATTATATTTTATTTATCCTTCAACATTGCATACAAGTCACAATTAAAAAAAATAAAACACAAATCGTGTTAAAACATTAGTTACCATATAACATCAACCTATAATATATAATAATCATATAACCTCAACCTTATTTAACCCATTAAAAAAGAAGAGGTTATAGCAGAAGAACTAAGATCATTAGCTCTTGAAACAATAGCTGAGCGTTATCCCAATCCTCCTTTGATTCATGTGTACACCGATGGTTCTGCCAAAGAGGCAACACAAATTGGAGGAGCAGTAGCATACTCACAGCTGTTTGCTATTTCGAAACCTGTTGGGAAATGGGCTTCAAATTTTAACAACAAAATTAAAGCAATTTTATTGGCGCTGAAATCCTTGTCAAACTTAGATGCCAAAAACAATTTATTCTTTGTGGATTCACAGGCGGCTATCCTTGCAGTATCATGGCCCAGCGACTCCTTTGCTCAGAATATTCTGAGGTGCCTAAAGATCATAGAGGGACTACTTCTTCAAGGAGGAGAGGTAATTTTTCAATGGATACCAAGCCAGTGTGGTCTCCATGCCAATAAAATGGTTGATAAACTTGCCAAGGAAGGCTCGATATTGAAATAGCCAGAAAAATAATTATCATTCCATAAAGCCAGAAAAGAAACAAATGAGGCTCTACTGCTGGAGTCCATAACGAACAGTATTGAGGAGAAGCAAAAAGAGAGCATCACTTGATGAAGCAGAATGGGTACCTATACACCTGCCAAGAAAGGACAATGTTGCAGGATTTCGGATGATAACAAGCCACAAATATCTTCAGAAACATCTGCATAGAATAGGAGTGGCAGGCTCTTAACACTGCAACCTATTCGATTCGGGCGCACATATGGATGCAGCGCATTAAAGTGAATGCTTGCACTTATTGAACTTTGGAGATACCACTCTGTCCAAATCGGAATGGTAATGGGTTGAAAGGAGATATCAAATGAGAAGTCTGGGTGTGAAGAAGAAAAACTTTATTTTGCACTTGTTACAAAATGGTTGCATGAATACTACTACTAATTGATCAAATGACATGATCGCCTGGCGTGAACCAAAACCATTGCTGAACATAAGACAATGGGATAATTCGGGAGCGGGTATATATTAGGGAAGGTAGAGAGATCAGTAACCTTGCCATTGAAATAGCTTGTAAATGTAGTGCACACACGCACGCACGCACTCACGCAGGCACGCACGCACACACACACACACACATACACAAACACACACACACACACACACACACCATTTTGCGGGACTTGATTATTTGGACTCAGGAGGCCTCAAAACATTTATTTCCATAGAAAATTCAGAGTAAAAAATTTTCATGATCCCAATACTGTAACTTACTATATATTTCACATATAGGTAAGTGAAAGTAAAAAAACCTAACCTTCTTGTTCACTTTATTTTATATGGCTATAAACCACTGTCAGGTTTTTGTGGATTGGTGGAGCCAGAATGTATTTAAATGGTGAAAAAAATATGACTCTTATTCCTGAGAAAAATTTTAGTACACTTTACGAGAAGCAAAATTTGGTTTATATAATTTTTTATAAATATAAATTAATTTTATACTAACGGCAATATTTTTTCTTATTCTAAAAGATGAATTGATTTATATATAGTGATCTTAGATGTATGAAGAGCTAAGACAGAAAACAATAACAAGAAGAAACTGATGAAATTAAATAAAAGTATTTGTTTTTTTTAAAAAAGTTTCATCAAAATCAGTAATCCCACATCCGTAGCTTTATCTTGTGACCTGATTCCCAGCAGGCCCAGTTCATTATGATGTTGGTTGAATACACCCCTTAGTCAGTTAAAATTTATTCGTAAGATTTTCTGCAAAAACTAATTTTAATACTCCCAATTGGGCTAGTATGGGGACAGCAACCTCTGGGTAGACATCAGAGGTTGCCAAAAAGGAGCGAAAGGCCCACTTGCTGGACAATTCCTCCCCACCAGTGCAAGTAACAATAGTGCATATCATAGTTGTGATATGCATTTACATTTTCAAGAAAGAAAAGAAAAACTATTTTTATTACATGCAAGAAATAATTTTATAAGAAAAAATTTTTGCAAAATTTCATAAACAAAGCTGGTTACTTACTATTTGATTGCAAAAAGTTTTTTGTTTCAGTCATAACAGTAGTATTTAAAAATGCCTCAAGTAAAGCCTCTTCTTCCCTTTTTTCTTCTGTTGTGATAATTTCATTATTGAATGCATTTAAATCATAGTTATCATACAGCTTCATTAGTTTTGAAACAGTTGGAACAGAAAATATTTCTTTCTGCAAACTCAATAAACTACAAAAAAAAAAAAATAATAATAATAAACAAGTTAATTTTATTTCTACTCCATAACTTTGTCTAAAAGTCAAGAAATCCAGAGGAATAGAAGGTTAATTGTAAATTATGCTGATATAGATAGATAGACTTGTCATGGAGCAGGTAGTGAAGTCTGGTTCAACTACCTTTGGGTAAATTCTGGATTCCCGATCATAAGGGGCTACTACTGTTTATGCATATCTGGATGAATGTTGTATGGCTAGCATCTTTACTACTCTTCTTGTGCCATTTCTTGCACCTTAAGTCTAGCTTGACATTATATCCTATATCTTCTGCAATTTGAACAGAAGCCCTAGGTAAATAAAACTTCAGTTGATTTTACTGCTGCTATGTTTTAAGGAAAATTATTACTCGGGATGCCATTGGATAACTAACCAGAAATATTTAATACAAATTAATAATAAAAAATTGGTAAAAGAAATTTATATATCATATTATATAGGTGTTCTATGGTTGCCTTTCATGTCAGGGCTAAGCTCCAGAGGTCGCAGTCAAGCCAATCCCCATCCTGAAGACCCCGGACATCCATTTCATGTATCCATTTTTTTCTGGGTCGTCCTTGCCTCTGTCTTCCCGGCCGTTGCCAATCTAGAATTTGGTTAGGCCATCACTCGATAGACATTCGTCTTACATGGCCGTACCACACCAGTCTTCGCCATCCAATTCTCTGATTGATGGATACAGGAGCCTTCATCCTATCCCACCTCGTTCTTAATTCTATCTATCCTTGTCACAAGTAGGTATCTCCTCCAAAAGTCCATTTCCATAGCTTGTACCTTTAAATATAGCTGGTATGATATGGTCCAGGTTTCAGCTGCATATATATATGGATGGGTTCTATGATGGCGTGGTATATTCTACACTTATTTTCTTTAATGTCCACATTTTAGTTCTTGGGGCACTGTCATAAGCCTGCTCTAGGTCCACGAAAGCTATATGGAGTTCATGGTTCATTTCCCGAGATTCCTTGATAAGTTGCCGGAGCTGTTGTCATTGTAGGACCAGGATGGGGCAAGGATGGTTCTCATTGGCTTTCAACTTTGGCGGGTGTAAAATTATTTAAACTGGCCACACCCTAAAGGGGACCAGTTACCAGTTACTCTGAGAAAAGGTCTTTGTCCTTAAGTACCTGCTCTCCACCTTGACGGTCTTTGATGTCAGCAGAAGTGTTTGGTGTCGGCTTCTTTTACAGACCCTTTGTTTCCGTAGTCGGCACCTCATATTAAGTTTAAAACATTATTTTCTAAGTTTACTACATAGCACTGCGTTCTGCATACTAATAGATAGCGTTGCTGTCACATTCCTTCAGACGCATTTAAAAACTTGTTAATCATTTGATACCTTCCAACACATTTAAAAATTATCGTTAATCATGGACTAAACCGGATTTTCAAATAATATAATGCAAAAAAACAAGGATTCCAATTAGTTAAGCTTATAAAATGGGAAACCCAGTGGATAGGTGGAAGGCTGTGATCCTCCGACTGGTTACATGATGGTGGCAACATGCATGTGATTAAAAAATATATATATATATATATATACACACACACACACACACAAACATATACTTCCTTACATACACACATATCTATGTATAGAATTCAGCAAGCAAAAAAGAATCATACAGAATATTAATTAGTCTATATGACAAAAATGTCAAGAGTAGGCATAGGAAAAACAAAAAAAAATATTGGCTTAAGCAAATCAAAATTTAATTAAAAAACAAATGATACATACTTTTTAGGTGCCAAATCGTCAGTCACACCGTAGCTCAATCTATTCTGGACATCAACATTTATCAACTGTCCAACATTATTAGTATCACTTAGAAGCAGTTTTTCACTAAAACTTTTGAGACTACTGTCAGGTACATGTACACAACCTGAAAAAATAATAAAATTACCAAATGACTAAAACTTTTAAGAATTTAGGTATCACCAAAAACAGGGATTGATTTAGAATTAATCAACCAAAAGGATAACAATGGTAACAAATATTACTAATTTCAAAAAAAGAGTCTTAATTTCAGATTGCTTACATTATTATAGATTTAACTGCAAATTTTTCATGAACTAACACAAAAAATATACAGAAACTCAAATTAATACTTGTGCATGACACCATGAACTCAGAAGCAATGATACTTTTCTGTGGAAATTGTTTAAAACTCTAACTTAAAAGTAATATAAATAATGAAGATAAAGCATGTTTAGATTAATAACAATAATTTTGAATTCTTTATTGAATGTTTAGATTTATGAATTGATGTAAAAACCCAAATTAAAATGAATAGCTGTACATAGAAATACCGAACAAATACCGTAATATTAAAATAGAACTTTTCATTATTCATGATAAATAAGTTTGAATACATGAAATGGAAGATGTCAGTGAAGAAAGTATAACAAATTACTGACCATAAGTAAATTGAATTAAAACATAAATTTCAAATATGTAGGGATGTAGGCGCAACATTTTTTTTATGTATATTAATAATTATACGTTCTTATTAATATATTATGTACAAATAATGTGGAAATTTGAAATTACATGATGAACAGTGAGCATATTATTAAAAGAAGGTACTTACATGTGGATGTAAACAAATACATAAAAAGTAAAGAAAATGTAGTAATAAAATCCATCATTTAAATATTCAAGACATAGGTGAAGTCAATTCAAATGAAAATAAAGGGGATAACTGTGCTTATCAAAATTTGAAAAACATTATCAAACAAAGAGGAACAAACGTCACTGCTCACAGCTTTCACAAATACCAAAACGTTTATATTGGATCTGACTAGGCGCCCCACAAATACTGGGCTCTTTGGCCTATATAACTTCGTTATTTTTACATGTTCTGGGTAGAGGTCACGCCGAACAGCCCAATATTTTTTTCGGCCACTTTTTTTCTCGATTTTGTGATCAAATTATCTTACGGTTGAAGTGGAAAACAAATGGGTGTTCATTAGTTTTTAGTATCTAATTAAATAGACAAAGTTTGTCGATCTTCAGATTGAAAACGCCCCAATTCCGCGAATTTTCGTAAATAGTTGAGATGAAATGCAGCTATTCACGAAGTTTTAGGCAGATGATAATAACTTGATAAAAAGGGGTCTGTACCACAAGTGGATCCAGAATTTAGTTTTGGGAAGGCTTCAAACCTCAATATTTCCAAATATCGGTGCCTATGGCCCCGTCTCCAGTTTATTTTAATTTTAACAGGGTGAGGTTGACAGTGCCCTGATACGTTTCCTTACAGTGCTGTATGAACTAGATTTTCTCGATTAATCCTTTTAAGAATCATCATATCTCGACATCACGATAATGAACGAATACGTCTTTTTCTTTTTTTTTTTTCTGACCCTCCAGAAACTTTATTTAACACTACTTACAACATACATCTATGAATGTATATATACATTATTCCTTGACCTTTGCTTACCCAAGGGTATTTTAAGGTATAACGAATACGTCAAGACACGGAGATTTCTTTATTTCCTTTTATTGGATAACCCCCTACCCACCATTTCTGGCATACAGGGAGGGGGAGAGGGAGGGTCGTTTTAGAGAAACAACCAAGCCTATTCTAACCAGAGTAGAAGAGTCGAGTTTCTTTCCGTGGGTCCGCCACGACATAAAAGTCAACTACTCCCAGGCCGGATTCGAACCGGCGTCGCTAGGCACGAGGATGCTGCAACGGGCAATGCTGCAACACATTCGGCTATCACGACCTCGCAAGATATTGAGCTGCCATCTCTTTTTCATGACATAAGGGAGATATTGAGCTATCCACAACTCTAATTTCATGAAGAAGCTTCAGGAGGTGGGCATATTCCGTAATCATCCTGGAGCAGGCAACTGACTGTTCCCTTGTCAACAACATTGGTATGCAGTCTTTCTGACTTAAAAGGGGTTCGCATTGCTTTCCTTCCGCTAATCTTGAAATTGTATGTAAACAACATTAGATTATTTTACTTTTACAAAATTTATACAAAAAGATCACTGAATAGCAACAAGATGTCAAGAATTTAGTGTTGTATAAAAGATAATAGTTATAAACTACCAATAGATGCGTTCAGTGACATTAAGAGTAGGAAAATCTTTATCCTGAAAGAAAATTAATATCTCTAGCAAAGAATAGCATTGATATTTGACAATGAATGGCATGAAATAAATTTATGTTGTCAAATGGTTAGCAACCATCTGACTGTTTTTGGGATAGGAATTGGAATAGGAGGGTTTTGAATGTGGATATGGATGGGAAATTTCAAATTTTGATAGGGAGGTAATTTCAGAAATTGACAGAGCGAGCTATAAAGGAGTTTTGGAATGAGGCAGATCTGTGAGAAGGCATGTAAATGTTAGAAGGTTGAGATCTTGTGGAAAGGGAATGGACTGAGGATTTGAACTGGAGAAGGTTGTAGGCGTAAGAATGACGATGACGATGAATGTTGATGATTTGGTAGAAGAACGTACACAGGAAATATTGTCTAAGGAAGGAGGGGAAAAGCCACCTTAACTCAGCGTAGTGGTGAGTGACGGGGAGCGGGGTAGCTCAGTGGTAGGGCACTGAGCTTCCAATGCAAAGGTCCCGAGTTCGAACCCCGGCTCATGGTAGAAAATTAATTTATCTGTTTCATTGGCCGTGGAGCGACCTTGGGTCAGGAGTCCCTCCTGGGGCACACCCAGCCTCTATAAAGTGGGTACCCTTTATTAAATAATTAATTAAGGGGGAAAACCTGGCGGTTGAGCGTGATCTCGATCAAATCACCTCCTTGCACAACCGTTGACCTAGAAACAGTGCTTTCCCTAAATAGTACTGAACCCCAGACCCTTTATGGGTTGTAGTGGTACAGGTAAAAAGTGGTGAGTGACATGAGAGTATCTTGGGGCCCCAATCACAAATCTTACGCAGCTGTTCATTAGTCTTTTCAGTCTATCGCGGGGCTCCACAGAGAGGCCATCATACACCACACAGCTGTAGTCAAAGTGGGGGAAAAGGAGAGAGGAAACTAGGAGTTTACGCGTATGTTGAGGTAGGAGATGGTGGAAGCGATGGAATAGTTTGAGAGTGGAAATTGTCCGTCGAGATATTTGAGAAATATGGTGATTCCAGAAGAGGTTTTGATCAATGAAAAATCCTAAATGTTTAACAGAGGAGTAGAAGGAGATTGGCTGGTCATTAAGGTGTAGTATGGGAAAGGCGGTATGGGATCTAAGAAGGGGCTTGGAAGCAATGGCAATGGCCTGAGTTTTGGTAGCATTTAACCTTAATCCATTTACATTTGCCCAGACACTGATTCGATCTAGGTTTTCTCGGATCTTGGCAAATGCTCCCAATAACTCAGGAACAATGGAGAATTGATTTATGTAGGTCTTTAATGTAGGAGCTGAAAAGGGAAGGAGATATGCTTGAATCCTGGGCAACTCCAGAGGATAAAGAAAGGAAGGCAGATAGTGGTTGATTGGGCATGGAGATTGCTTGGGTACCTTATGAAAGGAGAGATTGAAACTAAGAATATTATTGGAGAAAGATAATAATTTCAGTTTGTTAAAAAGGATGGAATGATTAATGGAATCGAAGGCTTTGGAGAAGGATAAAGATTGTAAACTTTTTATCATTTATCGTAGTTTGAATGTCGCTGGTGATTTTAAATAAGGCCTATTTTGATTTGATATCAGGAATTGAGGAAAGAGCTTCATGGAAGTAGAGGGATTTCGCACGCCGGATACTTGTTTGTGTCAAGTTGCGAAGCACCTTGAACGCTTGGTAGTTATCTGCAAGCCTTGTAAGTCTAAAGCGTCTACGGGCAGTGTTGTGTCTCTTCAGCAGGTCTTTAATTTCCTGACACATTCATGGAGCAGCCCGGTGACGAAATGTAGAGGTTTTGAGAGGGGCATGAGTATTGAGCATATTGAGGAGATTGGTAGTAAGAATATCAACCATAGAGTCGATAGAAGAGCAAGAATATATACCATTCCAATCTAGGATTTCCAGGTCAGATAATATTTTTCTCGTGTAAGGGAATCTAGATGGCGGAAGGTGATATTTCGAGGTTGGATAGGAGGAGTTCGAATATTATATGCTATTTGTATCAGATCGTGAGATGACAAAAAGGATACTGGCAGTTGGGAAGAGGAGAGGAGGTTTTGGGCAGAGTCAATAATGTAGAAATGTCGGACCTGCTAGTATGGTGAGTCGGAGAAAAAGGAGCGATAAAGAGGTGAAGGGAGAAAAATAGGTTTTCTAGATAGGATTTGTCACTGGAGTCAGATAGGAAATTGGTATTGAAGTCACCGGAGATGATTATTCTGGGATAGAGGAGAACGAAATTCAATAGGGTAGATTCAAAGGACGGGTGAAATGGAACAAGAGGAGGACGATATACCATAGCGTAGAGGAGAGGAGAAGTATTGTAGAGGATTTCTATTAATAGGTATTCAATTTGTGGGTGGTTGGAAGGTGGGGATAAATCGAGGATTCGGGTCTTCAGGTTATTGTGGACAAATATGGCTACTCCACTGCTCCACAGTACGGCTTACCCGATCATGATAGAGGAGGGTGTGATTAGGCAAGGAGACAGAAGAGGAGGGGACATAAGGTTTAGGCCACGTTTCGGAGATAGCTATAATATGATAACAATTTTGAGTGAAATGTTACAGGAAGTCGTCATAGTGGACAGGGAGGGATTGAGAGTTAACATGAAAGGTGATTAGGGTACTAGATATGAGAATGATTTGGAGGGAAATAGTCAGAGTTTGGTAGAGAAACACTGAAACAAATAAAAAATGAGAAAAAAGAAAGTGTTTACAGAAACAAAAAATAAAAAGTATGTAGTTAATAATGTATATATTAATGTGTGAAAGTGAAGAAATAGCTCAACGAATAAAAACAAAAATATTTCTTTGAAGAAAATTTTGTTAGTAGTTATTTTGATAATGGTGGGAGGTAGACGAATTATGTGTAGTCAGGTAAATATATCGAGGTCCGAGGCCTGTTCGATCAAGATAACCTATGTCCGTTCTCTTTCCGACATCGCACTTTTCTAGCGGCAAACCAAGTATATTTGATTTTCCCCGCCGCTTTCTTCTGTCGGGCAAGCCAGTATAAGTGCCTGTTCGTGTGAGTCATCTCCTTACCCAGATATATCCGGTGGCAGTCATTCTCCTGCTAACCGATATCCAGCGTGGATAAATCCCTTTTGACTTTTCTTTTTGATATGAAATAGTCTCTGACTGATTGCCTGACAAATCGCGCGATGGCAGGCGGCGGTTGCGGTACATCTTTCCAGTTTCTACGGTGATGCACCATGTCCAGGTCTTCTATACCATGTCTGACTCCCAGGCTGGCTCCTATAATGGTCACTAAAGTGGCGGACGTTTCACCAGTTCGTTTCGGTATCCCTCGGATCTCCAGTGATCTGGATAATAGGCCCTGATCTGCATTATTCAGGCGAACTTCCAGTTAGCCCACTCAGGATTTGAGGGCTTTATTTTCCAGAATAATTTCTTCCAATCTACTGGCTTGATTTTCAAGGTGTTTTTCAATTTTTAACTGAGCTCCCCATATTAATCGAGGGCTGTTTTTTATATCTTCATTCAAGCTTGAGTCTAGGCGATTTACTGTCGCCAGTATTTCTGAGGCAGACGGCTCAGTGTTGTGTTTTTTGGCCTGGTCGTAATTAGGGCATACCCATTTTGTTTTGTGTGCTTCTAGGGCTTCAATGTCATTATCAGTTTGTTTGAAACATCTACCATG